CCCATCTATTTTTTTCTTCGTCACAATCCACTTTTGTTCCTTCCACTATGGATGCCTTTAAAGCCTCCAATTTTCTTGCAGAATCGAGGATCTTTTGCTCCAAATGAGAAAAAATTTGTTTGTTTGAGGCCAGTCGTTTAAAGGCTTCCTTGGCTTCATGGTGTAAGGTATCAAAGGCAGTTTGTAATTCAGAATGAGGCAATCTAATAGAGTTTTCATATTTTACATGTTGTACCTTTTTGCTTTTCTTCTTTTGATGAGCGGAGAGACAAAGGTTGACGGATTCTTCTTCGTCACTTAAACTATCATCCTCGGATGACTCACTATCGCTTTCCCAAGTGATGTAAGCTTTTCTAGGCTTAAGTTGCTTCTTGTGTGACCAATTACTTTTCTTTCCTTTGTCTTTTTTCATCAATGGACAATCCGGCTTGTAGTGTCCGGCTTTTCCGCAATTAAAGTACGACCCTCTAACTCTACTCCCTTTATTGTCTTCATTCTTAGAAGACCTTGATTATTTTTTGAAATTGACTAGATTCTTTTTGGAATGTTGGATACCCTTTTTCTTTACGTAAAGATTGTATCGCTTAACGAAAAGCCCCATATCCTCATTCTTTTCATCATCTTCGTCATCACTCGAGTCGCAATCACTCGTCTATTTTGCATAGGACTTTGAACAAGAAGCCTTTAGAGCTATAAACTTCTTTTCCGTAGTTTTGGTCTTCTCCTTCTTTTCCCTTTTCTCAAATTGCTCGAGACTAAGAAGCACTTATTAATGCTCTTGAAGCTTTCTAAAGAGTGTTGTAAGGTCCAAAGTCATAAGATTATTTGCTTCCTTTATGGAGGTGACTTTTGGTTTCTATTTCCTGGTAAGACATCTTAAGACTTTGTTAGTAGCAACATCATTGGAAACTGGTCTACCAAGTGAATTCAGTCTATTGATTAGGTGAGAAAATCTCGTTTGCATGTCAGCAATGGTTTCCCCTTGCTCCATGTGAAAGAGATCAAACTCTTGTGTCAAAGTATTGATTCTAGCTAGTTTGACATCATTTGTTCCCTCATGGGCAACTTGTAATGAGTCCCACATAGCTTTAGCAGTCATACAATGGGAAACTTTATAGTATTCATCAACTCCCAAGGAGGAGATCAGAATATTTTTAGCCTTCCAATTGTCATTGTACTTTTTCTCGTCTTCATCATTCTATTGTGCTTCAGGTTTAGGCGCAACCACGTTATTTTCATCGGTTATAGTTATTTCCATAGGGCCGTTCAAAATAACGTTTCATACTTTCCTGTTAATGGAATTATAAGCGTGCGCATACATTCTTTCCAGTAACTATAGTTTTCACCATTGAAAACAGGTGCTCTATTATAAGCCCTTTTGGGTTCGTTAGCCATTTTCTAAGAAGTTATATGTGAAGCACGAAATGAACTAGTGCTCTTGATACCACTTGTTAGACGATAGCGTAGATCTAGAAGGGGGGTTGAATAGATCACTTGTTAAAAATAGAGTCGGCGCTTACCAATATTTGGTTTTAAAAGTTTTTGGGCGAAAGCGACCGAGGAACTTTATTCGTCTAAAACGAACCTTTATTGAAAAACCGGATATACACAAAGCCTATGGAATCCGATAAAAACGAGATTAAGAATCAATAATTTGAACACACATCAACCATAATTTATTCACTATGAGGTTGGACTGTTTCCAATTCGTATAAGATATAACCAAATTAAAAAAGCAGCACAAGTGTTTGTTGTTCACACAATTAGTTAAACACTTGGCGTGCAAGGCACCACAAGCGAATTCCAATATGTGAGTGAAGTGCTTAAGTTTTCAATTACAATCAATGATTGTAATAGGTTTCTAAAAATGGTTCAACATTACACATATCAGAATTTTGATCAACTAAATTGTTTGCACACAAACTCAGAAATTAAGCAATTGAAAAATAAAGAGAGAACACCAATTTGTTGAGGCAGTTCCCCCGTCGTCCTCGCCCGGGGTACGTCTGCCCTTAATTATAAAAATAGAATTGAGACCTGTATATATATAACCTGTTTGCAAATGTTTACAAGAGAAGCAATAGAATTCAAACGATCAAACTCGATTGTTGATGTAGAGCCTATTCCTTCTCTTCCCTTGATTCAAGCTGAATCAAGTCCTTCGAACACGATGAATAAACCTCCAATTACGGCACACCATTTGAACAATCCTATGGCCTTCAAATCTTGCCCGGCTGATTTCAATCACCAACGCTTCGAACCCGAATCTTCCTCTCACAATCCTCCAGTTACCGCTACTAAACCGACAGAACCACCCGTTCTTCGATTACCTTCGCTTGGTTAAATCTGTGATGGACCGATTTGTGTAAAAAAAATCCCCCAAAATGCAAGATTCTTGGAGGACAAAACCCTAACGATTTTATTCAAGAAAAACCCACTGATTTCTCAACCCAAACCTGATTACACCAATCCTATGTTTGGACGTTATCACCTCAAAAATGCAGAATGCACAACAAAAATTATTATGTGTAGTTGTTGAGAAAATGCAAGAAATAGGATGAAGATGATGAGAACAAAATCAATGTTTATTTTCACTTTTCTTGTTATTCAGAAGAATGAGCTAACTCAATATATATACAAGTAAAAAGCAATTAACCGACTTAACAAACACTTTGACAGTTTCACATAACAGAAATTTGGTTTAAAACGCACGAGCGGTCGACCTATACACAGGGAAGGGTCGACCTGAGCTAACCCGAATTTCAGATTGTGCAGAAAACAACACCTTGCGTCGACCGGAACAGGTCATGTATCGACGCAAAGTATACAAAGTTAGACAGACAGAAATAAACACAGTATGAGTCGACAGGAGGGTCGACGCGAGCACTCCTGAGAGTGGACCATGCAAATACCTTCTATATGAGTCGACCGGAACATTCTTTGAGTCGACTCAAAGACACAAAATATGCAAAAATGCATATCTTCATGTATTTAGCTGCTTTTGAGATACTCCACCATATTGCAAGCTAGACCAACATGATCAAACCTATATGGAGCATATATTGTACTATTTCTATATGAATAAAAAAAATGTTTTTGACAGATGTTTGACGCAAGAGGAATAAGGTATGCATATGCGACACAATGATATCGTCCAAGGTACATTTTTCTACCTATCTAAGTACTGACATCATTAAAACAAGTATAGCTAACTATGAGGAACTTTTCCCTCACAACTGCAAACCATTATCCCTTCTTCATTTACATATCTCTCTCTCTCCCCTCTTGTTTTCTAACCTTAAACATACTTTATATATGTTAAAATAAAATAAAATTAAAAGTGTGTCAATGCACTTGTGCGTTTTAGAAGACCCACCACTGATTGAATCCAATAATGATACCTTACATATTAATATTTTATTTATTGTATTTTAAAATACTAATTGTATACTTTTAGTTGACTGTTATCCACCACAGATCGCCACCTTAACAGAATCTAATGTTGCCACACATTTGCTAACCTCCTCCGCAATTAGGTCGACCTCCGCTGCTCATACCTCTTGCAACCCAATTGCACATCAACTTTTTCCACGAAGAAAACGCTAGTGTTAAAAACTAAATATTTCTCTTCATCACTTGAGATTTTGAGATATACTTTCGCAATTCTCCATCTTGAGTCAAAGCCAATGGTAATACAATCAACCACTTTATTGTCATCTCCAAAACTTGAATCATTATTCAAAAAATTAATCAACTCCATGAAATATTTGAACCTTGATCTAAACACTTACATCCATTTACTTTCTACCATAGTTTTTCTTAATTAGTCTCACATGTCTATAAGCATGGTTCCTTCTTAAGTGAATGAATCTAATCACTCACCACCTTAACCCATCTTTGACTTTCATATATTATGAATGCCTCCATGAAACATCTTTGATTGATAGTCTTACAACCCTCTAGTCACATTCATACCATAACAGTTAAGGCATGCACAATTGTATACATAAGGTGGTACAATTTCATGTAACCTTGCAACCTTTGTCTTATTAGAAACTAATTATATTCAAACCCCTCTTGAATGACTGTCTACTACTGATAAGAAATAAGATGCACCACATAAATAGGGGACATTGTGCGTACACCACACATCACAATGAATCAATTCAAATAAACCATCCTCTTTATTATAATTAATAGAAAATGAAGTACGAATTTGTTTTATGTCAAAGAAAACATCACATTTTCACCTTTATTTATAAGAAAATCAATAATACTAACGCCAAAGAGGATACTAACTATTTAGGAAGATGGATTTTCAAGTTGATGTCACACTTGATAAGAACCAAAATCGGTTGCATGACATAATTGAGTTTTAGTGCCATCAAGTGAGCCAATAAAACAATTTTTTCTCTTCACTTTCTCTGATCACCATTCTAAAAGTGTGGTCGTGTATCACACATAACTTGTTAGTTAATGTGACTACACTACTTAAAGCATTGATAAATTAGGAATAAGGGGATCAAACTACATGTAGTGTGTAGGAATATATAGAACATGTTGAATAGTCAAATTTCTACCCAGAGTTTTTGTCTCTTATTGGACAACATTAGCATGTTTCCTCTCACAAATTGTAATAGGTGAACAAAAAACATTTTAAAAGTTCATCGGTCACAAAAAATCATATTTATGCCCTAGAAAAAATCAAAAATAGAATAGATGGTAATTATTTATAGAAGTATCATTTTGAACATTTATGGTTCACAAAATCAAAATATTTTTATTTTTTGATAGAGATAATGGAAGTTAAGTCATTAACCATAGACTAATTTAAAGAGATAAATAGAGAAGAGATTGGGCACAAAAGCCCACGATGAGGATAGTAAGTGCCAAAAAAGCAGGCCCAACCCCAAAAATATCGACGGTTGCAATTTCTCAATAAATAAAACAGAAAAAACCGTCAAAGTAAGATTTCAAAGAAAGAAAACCATCCCGCGAAAATGAGTTCGATTTTCCCTCTTCGTGCGGTGTGGATTATGGCGGCGCTGTTTCTTCTCGCAAACACCGTCACGGTGGTGAATTGTATCCCCAACAGAGAACTAAATCCAATGCTCAACACTCTCCGATCAAGAGGCTACCGTCTCTTCCGCAACGCAATCCTCACCTCTGATATCCGATTCGATCTTCTTTCCTTCGACGACGCAAATTCAAACGTTACACATTCTTTCACTTTCTTCGCTCCCACCGATTTCTCCCTCTTCGCGCTCGACATGACTCAATCGGCATCGTCTTATACAGATACTCTCCGTTACCACATCATCCCTCGCCGTATCTCTCTTCGACAGCTTCGTCTCCTTCCAAACGGTTACACGCTCCCTACACTTCTCCACACGCGGCATCTTAGAGTCACGCGCCATTTTGAGTCTTCTGTTACTTTTATCGGCGGTGTGGAAGTATCTTTCCCGGGAATCTTTTACAGCCGTCACGTCGTCGTTCACGGCCTCACTGGAATTCTAAATCTCCGTTCTCATAATAATCATACCTCTCCGGCGCAGATTCTTTCTCCGATGCATTCTCCAGGTCACCGTCATTTCTCTTCAAGAACGACTCCGCATTCTTCGAAAAATCAAACGGTTCTTGATCCAGTTCCGGTTCAGAATTCGGATTCGTTCAAATTCACTGACCGGCAAGAATCTTCTCATCCGGTTAACGCTCCGGTACTAGAGCCAGCGCAAACGCCGGAAATCGGAATTGTTCACGTTCATTCTACTGTGAATTTCAGTAACGCTCCTTCTGTTACGCCGGTTTTTCCTCAAGAAGATTCTGCTTCAGCGATATCTGTTCCGCCGGAAGGATATTCCGATGCGGAGGCTCTGGCGCCGGTGGTGCAGGAGAGTAGTAGAGTTTCGTTGTTGGAAATGGAAGGAGCGATAGAGATGTCGGTGAAATCTGAAGCGTTGGATTGAAAAATAGTGTTGGTCACATGCACTGCTATGCAAACTAAGCTCGTTCGTGTTGGGTACATAAAATTCATTTGATGAAATGAATTCAATTTTTTTTATAATTTTGTATTTTTTTTTAATCATTTTTTGTAAATTTCAAATTTCATTGGTCTTGAAAAATTGTTAAAGGCCAATAGTTAGTTTTATATTTTACACAGGCAATCGATTAGCTAGTATGAGACGTGTTGATACTAAAAATGGAAAGACGTATGGTCAAATATATCCCTAATAAAGCCATGCATAGCATAAGTGTAACCCACTAAAAATGGTTTAGTACATAGTAGCTCGATGCAACTTTGAACACCTTTTCTTCTTCTCTTTAAGTTCAAAATCAGATCATAGTTTTATGACATAAATTTTTACTTCTAAGTTCAAAATCAGATCACGGTTTCATGACATACTTCTAGAAATCCATTAAGAAAAGTTGATTTTACATTTGTCCATCTATGGACCAACTTCTATAAGATGGTATTGCAACAATTATGGTTATTGTTTGGCAACTTGTGCAAATACTTTATTGAAATTTATGCTAAGTCTATACAAAAATCTCTTGTCGTTAGTCTATTACCATTTGGCCTCATTTTAATTATATAGATCTGTTTCACATCGATTAGTATTGTCTTGATTAATTTATGCATCAGCTATTAGATTTTGTTCTTAAAAATTATCCTATACTTTTCCTTCATAGTTATTACTTAATTTATGTTTTACATTGTTATATTTATAAAAAGATCTGCTTAGGACGATGAGAGTAGGCCACCCCAGGAGAAACGATAACATGTTGTTCTATGGAAAGTATTACCTCGCTCCAAGACTTCCCTATTGCTCAGTCGTAGAAAATGTGGGATAAAACGTTTCTTGAGCATAGAGAAGTTAGAGTCATTAACTGACCAACGTCTCCTTTAGATATAGACATTTAGCGATCCACCTTTGATTGGGTGAGTGATGACCATTTTTAAGAGAACACTAAACCCAAAAAACCTCTATAAATATCTCTTTCCTGTGGGAGAAGAGGAGGTGTCTTAAGCCACACAAATCACATCCCACATATGCTTATACCTAAGCATATCATTCAATAACAAAGTCTCTCACCTCACGTGAGTAGGACCTCTAAACCACTGTAAAACACTACCATAGAGGCACTAACCACAATACAATATAATATACCTACTAAGGTCTATGAGTGTCCATGCCTTTTGCAGGGACAACACACACGCACACTTGTACTTTTGTTGCCACAACAAGTCTATGTCTTTGTCAGTTCTAGTATAAAAAATTTCAATCCCACATAGGCCAATTGACAACTATTGTTCTCTAATATTATGATGTTTATCTTAGGCGATGTGAATGGTTTAACAAAAGAGGAAAATAAACTTGTTTTAAATTTATTTTACTGACGAGAGACCAGAATGCAATTCTAATCGAACGTTTGTACTAACAAAATCTCAGCTTATATATATAACAAGAAAATATTTTCTTGCAGGAAAAAGATTAAGTTGAAAGTATTGTCTGCTCTCGCATGATTGGTGTCAGATTTTGGCTTCGTAATCTAAATTATTCGTGTTGTGAATCGGATACCTTGAAACAAAGTATAAACGGTTATTTTATGATCAAGAAACACACAAGGGTTAGGGCTAACAAAGATAACAAGGTAAAACAACAAGAAACAACAAGGATTGATTATAAACGGCTATTCTTTCCTTACTCTTGGAACAAGATTACAAGTATACAAGAATAACAAAATAACCTCTCTCTTGAAATTAAGATTTTATCTTCCTATTTTTCCTTATGCCAAGATTGAGAAACTAGCATCCTATTTATAAGAAAAATAGCACACTAACCTAATGGGCTTTTTAACAATTATCCATTACAAACTAACTTAGGGTACAAACTAACTTAAACAAGTGTGCTTACAACCAAGGTCCAATTCAACATGCTAACAACCCTAGCAATATTGAGTAATGCATGTTAGAACAAACTTCGACTGCAACACACATTACTCCGACAATAGCATGCGAACATACTTCGACCTCATGCTTAATTTCAGTTGAACTAGAAGCTACTATTCGACCATACTAGAGTTCGATCCAACATCTCACAAATCTCCACCTTGGATCTAACTTTATAACATCAAGAGACTAGCTTTCTTCATGCAGCTTTATCAACTGCATACAGTGAAAAACTTGCAACTGGGCAACATCTTGGTGATCATATTAGCAGCATTATGATTTGTCGAAACCTTCAACACTTGGACTTCTCCACGCTCGATTACCCCTCTGATAAAATACAGTCTCACATCAATGTGTTTGGTTCGTTCATGATAGGCTGAATTCTTCGATAGGTGTATTGCACTTTGACTATCACATTTAACAATGATAACTTGACCTTGAAGTTTTAGCTCCTTTGCAAAACCTTCAAGCCACAATGCTTCCTTCACAACTTCAGTTAGGGAAATATATTCCGCTTCAGTGGTTGATAAGGCAACGACCTTCTAAAGTGTTGCTTTCCAACTGATTATTATCCCAAACATGGTGAGAACATATCCAGAAATAGATTTTCTGGAATCCATACAACCTGCATAATCATAGTCAACATATCCTTCGATTGTTGCTTTACTATCTTCACCCAAGGCTCCACCATAAATTAGGACTCTATTTAGAGACCCATTTATGTACCTTAGAATCCACTTCAATGCTTTCCAGTGAGCCTTTCCAGGATTCACCACGTACCTGCTTATAAGACTTACTGCATATGTTATGTCGGGTCTAGTACAAACCATAACATACATCAAAGAATCCACTATATTAGCATGTGTAATGCTATTCATATAAGTTCTTTCAACATCAGTGTTGGAACACTGATCTATACTTAGCTTGAATTGAGGGTTTGTTGGAGTCTTGACAGGCTTTAAATTCGACATACCAAACTTTTCGAGAACCTTCTGTAGGTATGCCTCTTGAGATAAGCATAATTTCAACTGCTTTCTATCTCTTCGGATGTCAATCCCAAGAATCTTGTACACAGCTCCTAAATCCTTCATGTCGAACTACTTATTGAGTTCAGCATTCACCCTCATTACATCTTCGACATTGTCGCGTGCTATTATAATATCATCCACATAGAGCAACAAAATAACAAATGAATTACCTGGTCGAAATCTGAAGTAAACACAGTGGTCGAACTGACTTCTGATGAAACTTATGCGTGCCATAAACTTGTCGAATATCCTATTTTACTGTCGAGGAGATTGTTTCAGTCCATATAAAGATCTCTTCAGTTTGCACACATAATCTTCCTTCCCTCTTTCGACATACCCTTCAGGTTGCCTCATTAGGATTGTTTCATCTAAGTCACCATACAAGAACGCAGTCTTCACATCCATCTATTCCAATTCAAGGTCGAACTGTGCCAGTGTGGAAAGCAACATTTGGATGAGTCTATGCTTCTCAATAGAAGACAACATATCATTGAAGTCGACACCTTCTTTTTGAGCGAACCCCCTAGCAACCAATCTTGCCTTGTATCTCTTCGATGTCACTCCTTCGATTCCTTCCTTAACTTTGAAAATCCATTTACATCTGACTAACCTGGCTCCAACAGGTTTCTTGATCAGTTCCCAAGTGTTTTTGTCATGAAGAGATTTCATCTCATCATCCAAAGCCTTCATTCGTTCAGTCTTCTTTCGACTCCTCATAACTTCCTTATAATCTCTAGGTTCTTCGTCTAGAACCTCACTTGCAGAGATTAAGGCATAAGTTATATGATCTGCATGCTCAAGTCTCTGAGGTGGGTTGATGACTCTCCTCGACCTGTCTCTTGCTAGCAGGTAGTCATTATCAGTCTCCTCATCTTCGACAACATCTTATGCGTCTTCTTTGACTTCATCTGGGGTACACAATTCAGCATCAACATGCTCCACCTCAACAGGAATCTCTCCCTATTCCAGCTCTTCGTCAGCATCATCAGTTTTCTTGAAAGCCATCTCTGCTTCATTAAAAACTACATCTCGACTGGTGATACACCTCCTATGACCTGGCTCTAGGCACCATAGCCTATAAGTTTTGACTCCTTCAGGGTATCCCATGAACATGCATTTTAGAGCTCTAGGTTCAACCTTGTCTTGCCTAATTTGAGCATAGGCCACACAACCAAATAATCTCAGTCTGTCGAGACTAGGTGGATATTCCGACTAAACTTCTTCAGGTGTCTATATTCCCAAGGCAGTCGAGGGACATTTATTTATCAGGTAAGCTACTGTCAAAACAGCTTCCGCCCAAAACACCTTCTTCAATCCAACACTAACCAACATGCATCTAACTCTTTCAAGGATTGTTTGATTGAATCTCTCAGCTAAGCCATTTTGGTGAGGATTACCTGCTACAGTCTTATGCCTTGCAATTCCAGACTCAAAACAGTAACTATCGAACGCTTCGTTGCAGAATTCAAGGCCATTGTCGGTTCTCAAACTCTTAACCTTTCTGCCAGTTTGAGTTTCGACCAGAATCTTCCAACTTATGAAATTCTCAAAAGTTTCATCCTTCGTCTTCTGAATGAATACCCATAGCTTTCTGGAATAGTCATCAACGATGGATAGAAAATACCTTGCACCTGAGTGTGAAGGATTCCTTGCAGGCCCCCAAAGATCAGCATGAATGTAATCCAGAGATCCATGTGTTCTTTTCTTGCCTTTGTTAAACTTCGCTCTACAGGATTTACCAAATACACAAGATTCACAAAACTCTAACTTTTCGACTTTGTCACCTCCTAGCAGGTTCTGCTTCCCCAATTCGACCCAGCCTTTTTCACTAACATAGCCCAATCTCATGTGCCGTAATTTTGTCTTCGACATAGGTTTTGTGGATGCAACATTTGTCGAACCACTTACAACCTCAGCCTCAAGGGTATACAAGCCTTATTTCTTCATGCCTCTCAAGACTTCCTTCGACCCCTTCATGACTCTTAGG